ATTCGGGCAACTCTGATGACAATGATGTTGGTCTACTAAGCAGGTCAAAAGTCCCATATACAGAGGACCGACGGAAAAAGAACATGAATTATTGCTTAATGTTTTCCCCAATTTCTGTCACCAATCCCAACAATCTTTCCGACGAAACAACTGTTGCATTACCCAACAGACATGGGTGTTCTGGCGTCGACCATACCTCCCCGGGTCTGTTCTTACACAGTCGTCAGATTATCATGCACCCCTTTTGAGCTTCACTTGGGAACACATTGCAAGCTCTAGGACTGTCAATGTGGTTGATCGTTGGGATCCACCCAAAGTCGACTGTTCAGTTAGTCTGTTCTCTTTACTGGTTAAGACAGCAGAACGTTTGGTAGACTTCCATTTTAGGTGTAGATTGAAGGATTCGATCCCATAACAAGCACATTACACATAAGGTAAACTGGAATGTTTTCTTCAAAATAAGTCCCTATCTTCAAGAGTCTCAGATCGATTCGATAATACAATCAGACGAACATGGCATGATTGACTGTTTTGCAATAACATGTATACTCCATAGAGTTGAGAGGTTAATTCGACAAAGGGGTGGGCCATGAGGAGTCAGACGGCAGGATGACCTAGTAGAGCACAGGCGACTTTATGTAATGGGCTTATGAATTGCTCTGTGCCATTGATACGGACATGAAGCACAGATTTGAGCTCAAACGACAGTCTCTTCGTCTCTTCCCCTGCGCAGCAATGTAAGTCGTGGGCCCGATCGGTCATTGAGCTTTCTGAAGTAAATGCAGAGGATTTGGAGACACAATAGCCAGGAAGTGTGTTCCACAATATCCAGGTCTGGACTAGGTTTTGGACCTCCCTGTATTATCCGGCCTGTGGAGGAGGACGAAGTGCGAGAGTAATAGTGTAAAAGCACTGCAAGGCGCCTTGGTTAAACCCATTTGACTGCAGGGTGGCAAAAGCGCTACCTGACGCATGCTCTTGCAGCTTTTTAATAAGGTATTTGATGTTGTCACCTTTCAAGTTCCAAGAAAGCGAGCTCTGGTTTTCATTATAGACGCTTTTGACAATGCGCTCAAATACATTCTCTTTCATTCCTCATTTGTAGTTTTTCGATCACCCCATTCTTAAAATAACTACACAAAAAAAAGCGGTGCGATTTAGTTGTGTACCAGAGTGTATTAAATTTCTGCGGTCTGTCGAGAATCTATCTCTTAAAAGAAATTTGTTTTGCTCTTTACATTTTTTAAGGCATAATTTACCCATTTAATGTGTGCAATTGCTAGGGTCGAATACCTGCAAAACACAGGTTTGATTTTTTTTCTATGCTTTGACGAACGAGAGCAGGTAAAGTGACTACAAACATACACACATTGCAGTTCCATTATTCAATTTTAACAGAAAAATATTAGTAGGCAAACTTATTACAAAATAAATTATTAATAAATAAAAAACGGGAATGAAGGGCTATCTTCGCCAAAGATTTTATATCCTTGCAGACCAAACCTTTTTACAATGCTTTGCCCGTATTTAAGAAGCACAGGGAATCTAATTAATGCCGAGTATGGATAGTAATTTGAGAAAAAGTTATTTATGCAGCACATACTTTTCGAGCGATCGTTCATATGGCAGCTATATGATATAGTGGTCCGATGTAAATAGGATATTGAATAAATGTACTTTGATCAAGATATGTAAACAAAAAAGTTTTGATCCTTCTTTTCAAAAAAACGTCTTATTGCTGTTGTATTTTTAATTTATTTTATACGAATATTCTAAATCACAATCTACTGCTGAATTATTCGTCAATATCGGTTAAGAAACAAAACTTATTAATGAAAACGTGTGGCATATATAAACATATACATATATGTAGCATCATATGCAGCATTAAAATGGCCTACAACATTAGATAGTTCCAATTGATTTAAGCAGTTATGTTATGTTGCGGTGTCGATTGCTATAAATTGAAAGATACGTAACCTAGTGTATGTCAAGTTTGGCGACTCGAGCTCATAAATCACAAGAAATTGCTCAAAAAACGTGATTTCGATATCGATTGCATAGAAACAGGAAAAGTTATCGATTAAAGGAATCTCATACTGTGCGGGCACTAGGAGGGCCTCTGATAGGTTTTGAGACCGACTCGTTCATATATACGGGCAGATGGGCATGGCTATTCTCGGCCATGGATGCTGATCACGAATAAAAACATTTATGGGGTCTCTGTCTGTTATATATATTTGCACAAACACATATTTTCACTTCTCACCTATCGAAAAATGTTCCCAATAGATTAACGACTTCGGCTTTAAAAAGAGTAGCAAGATTAGAATCACTATATATACAGCCTAGTTGAAACAGGTTGATGCTCGCAAAGATTGGCCAGCAGTGAAAATAACCAATTTAAAAAAATAATAAGACATGACAAACAGGGCTGAGAGACTGCCGCTCGACCGGCTTATGAGGCATACAATAAATATAAGTAGCATTGTATAAAAGCGATCTTAGCGCAAGGGTCCGATGATTGACATGGGCGCCATGACCAAAATAAAGACCGCAAAAATTAATTGTTAACAAATAAATTTGAAGCGCAGATAGAGAAACGGAATTTAAATGCGCCTAGTCTTAGTTAACACATCAATTCGCACCATCTTATAAATAAAAGACTCACTATTGCACAATTGAGTTATCCTTTGGTTGTTTATATATTGGAATTAACCTGTGCTAGACTATGATTTAAATATGTACATATGTATTAACGTAGATCAGTTCACACTTACCGGGATTGTTAAGTACTGCACAGACATTTTCAAAGAGGAACAATCGTTCCTCCACTGAAACATTTAGCACTCTGTTGGGCAAATCACGAAGGGCACTCGATAACTAAAACAAACATTGTGAGAATTCTATTTAATATTTTTTGTATAAACTTACTGCCTTAGGAAAATCCATTTTTCCAGAACGCAAACGTGTGAATTAAGTTAGGGATGGTTAATAATTTTTACAGCAACTGTGTAGTTACATGGTTGATAATTCATGTACATCGATCAGATTAATAGTGTGTTTCCAATGACAGCGTTTGCAGCTGCATCGAAGATTGTCAGGATATGAACGCGAATACAAGAAGATTTTGATCACGTGATTCCAGAAATATATTTGATGATTAAGCAATTTTACATTGTGTTATAGGCAATGCACACTGAGTGGACTGAATGAAATTTCTTGAAGATGTGAAAGTGTGTTGTTACATTGCAACCACTAACCACACAATACATAGATACACTAAACAGCGTTTTAATCGTATCACGATTCATCGCAACAAGTGAGCCCCAAAGGTGTCTGAGACCATTTTAGTGTGCGCAGATGGAGTAAGACTGCTGAGAGTGGCAGCCTTACGCCGGACTCGAAAGCCGAACGTTCAGTATAAAGCCGCATATCGCTCAGCGCACAACGTCGCTGCGGCTGATGCTTTTTCTTAATATTTGTATGTCGGTTTTAAGTCCTACAGCCAAATTCATAAATATGTGCTTATGAACTGCTCCATTATTATTTTAATGCCCAAGTAGCCAGCAGAAAACCTTTCATCAGTTCAAAGAACAGGCTTTGTAGACTCAGTACAAACTCGTACTGCGCATGGACTAGGAGGTCTTACATACCATACATACCTACATACATTTCAAGTCTCTAGCTCTTATGGGTTCTGAAACCCAGCCGTTCATACATACAGACGGATTATTGGGCGGACAGACGGACGGATAGACGGACGGATAGACAGAAGGACATGGCTAGATCGACTTGGCTCTTGATGCTGATCAAGAATGGGGGTCGGATATGCGCCCCTCTGCCTGTTACATTCATTTGCACAAAAACTGTCTACCCATTTTACCAATTTTCAATGGGTTCAGGGTATAAAAACGAATTAAAATAGCAACACAGAAAACAGTACAATTGCAATTGCAAAGCTGTTGATAGAATTCAAAGAAGACGCGCAAGAATGTGTGTGTGTGTTTATATGTATTCAGAAATTCTTGCCATTTGCGCTTGTTGCGAGTATGGACTCGGGGTCAGCTAAAACATGTTTTCCTTTATAACTTTTGTGTTTCTTAACCAATATTGATAACAGTTTCTACAGTAGATCTTAATGTGCTTAAGATTATTTATGTATTCTCAAAATTACAATTGCATATATATTTTGTCTTTAATTGGTGGGCAGTATAAACTGGTTTTTTATTTGTTTTATATCTATGATTGATGGTCCGTGAAAATATTAATTTCTTTGGTTCCATACTAGAAATTTTTTAACTTCACTAAGGCCTATTTGGCCACATTGTGTTCAACAATTCCCTCTCGTTTGTCGCGTAATGCGATTCTTTGATTTGCTTAAGCGTTCTTGAGATCATTGTGATCGATTTGCCCCCTGAGATAGGATGGCTTATGCTGCTCACGGAAGTATCAGTGATTAGGTTATTTATACTGCACATCTCGGCGAACGGGCGTCTCGAAGGGCAACGGTATCCCAAAGGGCACCCGTTTCTCTCCACTTCTCAACTTGACGTTGCTATTTGTGCGCTCCTGCCCAAATGCGACACATTATTGTATATCTATTGCGATTTAATAAAGTACAAAAAAATTTTTATGTCTTTATTTATTATCAATTGCAATATATATAAATTTGGAATTTTATTTAATACATAATTTCATTTATTAAAATTCTGTTTATTTTTCTCTAACTCTTTATTGTTATTCGAGTCATTAAATTTGTATGCGATACATTTGTAGTTTGTCCTCGGAAATAGTTTTATGGAAAAGCGAGGTTATCAACGGCTAAATGAATCCCTGATTAACAGATTTACCCGGTTAATAAAAACCCGGATAATTTGAACTTCGAACCTTGAGGTCGTATTGGCTATGAGATCCTCGGCAAACGGATATTACATGTATTTTCGATTTTATTGTTAACAAAACTTCGGCGCTATTCTTACATTCATAAATTAGCTCAAAAGAGCTAGTTCTGGAACCAAACTCTTAGTTACGACTTTTAGAAGCTTGCGTAAGTTAATAATAAATTTTAATTTACGTGTGTTTATTGTACAGGAAGTAAAACCTTTTTCTTTATCAGTTATAAAATGCAGGGGCTTGGATTACAAAGTCTTAAGAAAAATCCTGCGGTATGTGAAACCATCTAATCTCTTCTATTACGTAATCGTCACTGATGTTTGTTTTATATGTATTTCCATAAATGCTCATATAGTTGATCCCGCTCTACGTTTGCGTGGCTGCAGGAGCAGTTGGAGCGGTTTATTATATGACTCGCCTAGCTACACGGAATCCGGACGTTACTTGGAATCGGTCATCCAATCCAGAGCCATGGCAAGAATATAAAGACAAACAATATAAGGTACGCTCATCAGAAATCATAATATGTATGAATTATTTATAATTTTACGTTTCTTAAAGGTATTGTGTGCATAAAAGCAAAACATTGATTTGTACAAAAAAGATATATAAAATATTATTAACAAGTGTATTATATAATGGAGTATTTACTTGTTTATTTTCAGTTCTATTCACCTGTAAGAGATTATTCTAAAACAAAGAGTGCTGCTCCCAACTTTGAAGAATAAAATTTTCAAATGGAAATTGAATTAAATTAACTGTCATAATAAATGCATTAATGTGCTGATTATTGTTGTATATGTATGCATTATCGATTTCTACTTTGTTTATGCCTTAACTTAAGCATGACTTAATTATAGGAAAAGAGAATTGTCAATGGCTTCTATGCATTAATATTGGTTGATTTATTAAAAAAGGTCTCAGCATGTATATAAATGCATATATGTATATATATATATATACCAAGATATGAAGTTTTTGGTACACAGCGAGCTGCATGAATGGCAAAAATCATGTTCAAATGAACAATGTCAAAAATGAGTTGAGTGGAATTGAATGCAAAGCCGAATATGTTTGAGTGAAACGAAAGAAAACGAATTGAATGAGTGGGAATGCGGTGGAATAAGAGGTTTCGTTTCGAATGCATTCGAATGACGAACAGCTTATTTTTAATTGTTGTCTTGTCGCGCATAAAGAAAAAGGCGAACAGGAAAAAGAAGAAAGGAAAAAAAAAAACAAAACAAAAGCATCTAAATAAGCATGCACAATGAATACAGTCCGTCACCGTTTTTTTCTTCGTCCATTTCTTTTGACTGCTTGCGTCTGTTGAATCGAACGAAATGAAGGCACGCACTCAAGTAATTCGAGTTTCTTCGGCTGTGCCAAATTTTTCATTCCGCTTTACGCTTTATTTATTCTCACTCATTTCGCTGAATGCTGTCTGGTATGAGACACAACACGCTCTAAGCACCTACGAAGTTTGTCAGACCAGATCCTTGAAGGTCGAAAGCACAAACAATGTTTTAGACAAATCCTTTACAAACTCTAAGTGCACCGCCTTTGTAGCGAAGCATTTCGCTCTTGTAGAAAAGTGGTCCACAGTAATCAACGCCAGTGACCATAAAAGGATACAATGTGTCGAGACGATCAGCTGCCATTATATTCTGACTTTTGGATCTGTCAATCGTGGCTTGGAAAACAGATTGTGCATTTGGAAACAGTACTGGAGACTGTTTTGCGACTGCCAATGAGCCGAATCTAAGACAATAAGGCGCGAAGACCATCATGAAAGTTCCGTTTATAAAAGGGAACTATGATTGTTCGCGTCACAGGATGCTGACGGGGCAATATAATCGGATGTCGCGCTGAGAAGTCCAACGACGAGTTTTTCAGTCGTCCACCGATGCGGAGTAGGCCGAAGTCGTCAATGAATGGCGCAAGAGAAGCCATTGAGCTAGACGATTTGGCAGGCCTTCCTTCCATCAGTGCCTTGTAGTAATCGTCAAGAGTAGCCATTTACACTGACCCCAGCAACAGGTGTGTGCCATGATGCACTTGATTACAGTTACTTCAGCTCCTCGGATTCGATTTACAAGGTTGTAAATGTGAGCAAGGTCCAGTTTCAGCTTGGAGAATTTGCAGCCAATCGAGAGATCAAGTTGCGATGCAGTTCCGAGTAATACCTTGTGTCGAAGCTCTGGCAAGGATTCAACTGGTACACAGGAGGCTGGCCATTCTTCCTTTTCCTTGCTGAGAAATCTTGGGCCACGGGCCCATAACGGAGACCTGGAGAGCTCACTGGCAAGCGGTCCTCGTTAAATTATATCCACCGGGCCTAATTCATTAGGAATATGATGCCATTCCATGCCAGTGGTGAGCTCTTGGAACCCTGCGACCCGATGGGCAACGAGAACGTTAATATCGACTGTCAAACACTGTCATTTTGCATATTTCGCTGAGAAGTTGAGCCAATAATGCAGTTTCGCAAAGTTCCAGCTTTGCTACAGTGAAGGTTTCCACGGGCGCGCCACGCGACTTGGAGCACAAGAGACGCACGGTTGTATTGCTATGGCACTATTAGACTGTATAGACGCATGTTCCATAAGCGCTCAGGCTGACACCACAAAATCCGTGAATCTCCACTGTACTGTCTGATGAGAGTGCACGACGGGGATACTGGAATGGCTGAGTATACTCAAAATCAGCGCATAAAAACATAAGTGCTGTGTTTAAGTGTACAGGCAAGCTCTCATCCAAGTCCAGTTTTTCTATCCAGAGATTCTGCATAAAAATTTTTGATTTAGTTATTACAGGACCAACAAGACCAAGTGACAGTGTCAAACCTTTAACTCTGTATCTTCTGATGCTAAGACCCACGCCACAAGGTACTTTAAAAACAGCTGTGTGCGGGAGCGACTCGTCCGCATCGATACATTTTGCATATGTCGCCTGTGAGTGCGACTGCAAATGTATGAAACAGAATAAGTATCGAAAACAGGTGCGGTTAGACTGTAGGACTTCCCATCAGTGCATTATTCAGTGAGTGTCCACATGTAGTAGCTGCCGAGCCATCAACTACGTCTTTTAGCTTGGTTGTGGTGCTATCCTCCTTCAGCACGCAATGATGTGGCAGGTGGTACTTGCACTCGCCCAGTGCGGCTAAGCTAGCAAGTGACATATGTCCATATTAAAGATATTCCTTGATAAACGCTGCATACTGGGTTTGCAAAATTGGATTGCGGTCTAGTTTTCTTTCTTAATTAAGGAAACGACGAAACGCCTGTTGATAAGAGTCGCCCATGCCTAGACTGAGCGATAAACGAACCGAATACTCTCCAGTCGACAGACGCTTTAAGTTGGACTGGAAAAGTACTTCTCAGTCGCGCTCTTCCCTATTTTGTGAGGACTCACGTTCAATGCAGCATTTCAGTTCCCAAAAACAAAGAATTTATTAATCAATCTGTGCAGTCGGCTGCAGATGCGAATCTACTAGCAGATCTGGATTCACCATTGATCGCATGGCCTGTATGTGAAACACCTACGTCACGACCCAACCAACGCGAGTCTTTGGCAATAGCGGCAGTCAAGCAGCTGGTTTAATCTGGCGGACTGAGTTCAGGATCAGCTAATTGCATATTTGATGGAATGTTCTATGATGTAGGGTCAAGAGTAAAGCGGGTTTAAAGACCATTGTCGCAGAATAAAGATATTTAAAAATGGGGAAAATATAATTTTTCAAGTACAAAACCAAATAAATACTGATTAAGATGTGTATTATTGGAATTTATTTACTGTCTACATTCATTTGTTATTCAATTTAAGCTTATAATGTGACTTAAATTAAAATGTATTTGGTATTGTGCTTAGGAACATAATAAATTCATATAAAAGTGAGTGATACCGGTTCCGGAACCAAATTCCAAAATCGCCGCTAACTCCCCATTTCTAATTTGACGAAGACCACATTTTGTTAGTTTACTCACTAAGAGTAGTTCAATCGAAATATTGCAGAACGATTTTATGCGATATATATTTACTTATTGTCTTCGAGAACATTTAGGATGTCCAGATTATTATATATGTCTTTTATAAAACCTAATTGGCGAGCCTCTACGTCAACAAAGCTTGGAAATTACTTAAACTTTCTGGTCCCTCCATCAGATTGTATATTATCCCGCAACATTAGCTTTTTTAACAAATGTAAGTACACATTTAACCTATGTATGCATATTATTTATACGTATGAATACATAAATGTGTGCATGCATATGTACTTAAAAATACATATTGTGCTAGCCATATGTCGAAATTGTTGGCTGCAGAATCCTTAGTATTTAGACACGTTCTAAGGATTTTTAAAACCTTCCAGCGCGTATTACGGTTTTCATATTTTAACTAGCCGTTTAGAAATAAATCTAATAGTGCTGTGAAAAGTGAATAAATAGGATTTGTGTTTTACACAAAAATAAACAAATTAATTTTCAGCCAGAGCAATAAAAGATAGGCGAAGCTACGTTTTTAATGCTTAATTACATATGCAAGATAGAACAGTTATCTTCATGGTTCCGGTTTACAGTTGCATAATATAGTCATTCTGTTTGGTCGTACGTGTTGTACCTCCATGACGATTGCTTGAAAAACTCAAGGTTTGGGCTATACATTGTCAGTCAGTCAGCACAAACATATATTCTGTGCTTCGTGCATGTTCGGTTACTCTAATTTCTTTCTTATATCGAAAATGGTATGGCTGTAGGGTAGAGGCGATAGAAAGTAGCACGGTCTGTTACGGGTTCGAGCCCAATTGAGAGAAACACCTGTTTTGTTTTTTTTTTTTTTTGTTAATTTATTTTAATTACTGATATAGCGATATACCCTAGGGGAACTCCCGATATTGTGTGTATTTTGTAGTACACTTGTGGCAAGCCGCAACAGTTTCTGCCCATGTTAGCCTTGCGGTGCGAGTCTTGAAGCTAAAGAACTTCTGTTTGACCCGCATTTGCCACCCAAGAACGTATAAAATAAATTTCTCACAAAAATATTTAAAAATGATTTGGCTGATCAGATGGTAACCAAAATACTTTCATGCAACCCTTTAATTAAGTAAAGCTTTGAAAACAATTTTAAAGAAAATTAGAGAAAATTTAAAACTGCGCCTAAAAAATCTTTAAATCGCATCTTCACGGAGGAAGCTTGGATTCTGCGAAAGGTGTGAGACACGCCTCAAATGATTTTTCGTATAGATCAAATATAGACTAAATATTTGAGACACATTTTCACCAAGAAGAAACAATTTTTTTTAAGAAAACTCGCCTCAAATATTTGCAGGACCGTATGCCATATGTCTACAAGGAAATTCAATCTTGATAGCTTGGTCAATAACTGGGCACTGTCTAGAGAGCGCACACCCTGTCAGACTCATAGTATTTGATATTAACTAATTATGATATAATATATTTACTTTATGGGGTCAAGTGTGACCCTATTCTAAGAAGGCAACCTCGTTAAAAGCACTCTCATTTGCTATTTTTAATTTTATAATTCGTATTTTAACTTTTAGTACCTGCCGACGATATATGGCGCGGAGTAACAGCAGTAAGCAATGCTGGTAAAAAAAGAGGCCGCGGAAAGGGCACAGGAAGAAAAGTTGCAAAGGATCTCAATAAAGGGCAAACAATTGGACACGGGAAAAAAAGTTGCATTTGGCCAGGCCTAAACGCACCAATTCTACGTGGAAATGAACTTATTTATCAACAGAAACAGTCTGAAAACGTAGATAGAGAAAAAAATATAATTAATTT